AGCTCCTCACTCAGGCCTGCCTGGCACCAACTTTAATATCCTTTCAGTGCCAGGTTAAGACTGTCCTCTACAACTGGGCCATTCAATTAATTTTACATTTTACCAGGACATTATGTCAACTGTTGAAGAGGTCTCATGATTTAATTTGTGTATGCTACTGTAGGTGTAACAATTTGGTTTTAAATGTACCTTTTAAATTTTGTAGTGTATTTTTAAATGATGTTTTTATTATAATTATGCAGTTTACATGGCATTTTAATTGTATTTTATCTACCACAGGTTTTGGCTGTTTGGGGGTATAAAAATATAAACGATACTAATGAACATTTACTCTGATGTAGTTATATGAATACACACACACACAAACACTTCTCAGATATTGTTTCAGTGAAACACAAATAAAAATGAAGCATATATAAAATGGTAACTCCAATGCTGTCTTTCTGCTTGGGTACTTTCTTGCTACCTCTCACACCATGTATTTTTAAAAGAAATGTTTACCATAAATGACCTTCCTCCAGTGCTGTTTCCTCCTAAGAAACATACCTGCTATTGGCTACTGCATCCCCACTTCCTACCAGTGAGATAACAGAAATGGGTGCACAAGAAGAATCATATTTAAGGCTCCTTAATTGGGTTTGGGATGGCCTGGAAATGCAAGAGTGATCCAGAAACATTTAACTCAAGAGCTTCCATGTCAGTTCCGCTCCAGGAAAGACACATCACAAAGCTAAAACGACTCCAGATGAATCTAGTCTGACTGAACTGTCTCTTAGCTGGGTTCTTTACTATTTTTAGCAGCCTCAAGACCGTGCGGCTGCGTTTCATTGTTAAATCAAGAGGAGTGATTCAGTGATTCTGAAATCAGCCCTCGCAAATAAACATATCTGTATGCATAAAGAATCGTTAAGCATTAATATGTACCACGAGTCCAAAACACTCCAGTTCAAAAGCTGCCTTGGAAGCTGAAGAAGTTAGGAAAACTAGACATTTGAAAACAAATAGATGTCAGCTCGGCTCTGATCCCGCCGGGCGGGCCTTAGAGGCTACCTGCAATCTCCCATCCTGTGCAATTCTTTATTTGCAACATTTGAGTTATTTGCAATAAAAACATTTGCTATAGTTGTTTAATTTAAGCATTTTATAGCTCCATGAAATGCCATTGTAGTTTACAAATAGAACACTTTCCACCAGCATTCATAGAAATAGGGATACAGAGCCTGTGACCCACTGGCCTTCTGAGTCCCCAGGAGAAATCCCCTTGGAAGGAATCCTCACTCTTATCTGAGGTCAGAGATAGCAGTGGCGTTTTCCTAGGCACTGCTCTCCCCTGGCTGAGTCACTTTGCATGGCATATGGTGACTCACAGGGATGCCAAAAGCTACAACCTCCCTGCCAGACAATGTTCTGCAGGTCTGTATTAGCAGAAAAACAAACCCCATCCATGAATCAGAAGAGCGACTTCTCCAAGACAGTCACAGCATTGTATCAAAACGGGAGCACATGAGATTAAGAATCAAAGGCTTTCTTTAGAAGGATGGCCTGGCTTTCTTTGAAATTAGACTGAAGGACAGAATATCTCTTGGAAAGAGCTCCAGTTTCATTAGGGTTGGAATAAAAAGGCTTGATCATTGTGCAAGCTGACTGAACTCCACAGAAGATGGAATCTGGAACAAAACTTCCTCATGAGAACTTAAAATGTTGGAGGAGACCTTGACCCAGTTTGGATGACACAATAACCCACCCCAGTTGATAAACCACAGCAGGTGTTGTCTGGATTCAGCACAAGTTTTGGCAGGGCTGCTATTTTTTCTCCAGCAAGCCATCCTTAGGACCCATGGCTTGTTTAGGGTACTCTACACCCATGACTGCTTGTTGTGTCTTCCAAACCGGCAGGGTGTTTTCATCAAGAATTGCTGGGAAGAGTCGCTCAGCGCAATCTTGCTTCCTGAACGCTTGCCTTGCAATGCCTCCATCCTTCCTTGGCATTCTGTCCCCTTAACATGGTTCCACCACTTCCCTTGTAAGCAATGTTATTCCTTCTCTCATTCCCTTTACCACCAGCTGTGTGTAATCCACACTGCAACACTTAAGGGGTCTGAAGTTCTACAAATTTAGTTTTGGTTTTGCTGCGCCTGCCTTCCTGCAGAAGACCCTTCTAATTTTTAAAACGGGAGTAAGACAGGCAATACTTTGACCATTCAACTTGTGCAATTTATTAAAAGGGTTTAGCATGTGACATTCCATTTCCTTTGTACAATGGATCTGCACCAAGAGTAACACCCCCCGCCACACACACACCCCTTCTGTGAAGTCTTTCCACTGTTGCTTGCCTCAACTTTTTAATACACAAAGCCCAAATTCATCCTTGCCATGCATCGGAGGTCCTGACTGAGACAGAGGGAACCCAACAGGTCAGAGCATTCAGGTATACCGGGAACAAGTGAGAGTCTGGCACGTTCACAGATCTCTGGATAAATCCAGCGGAACAAGCATAATCTGCAAGCAACCATCACAACGAATTTTCTTCGGCTCTTTTGAGCAGATGAGTATTTGGTTCTACGTGCTCTCCCTCGCACTGCAAAGACAACTCTCGCCACCTGAAGAAAATAGGAAATAACGACTCCCTAGTGCTCTTGGGTCACGCCCTGGCACCATGCCATTCCATGGTGATAAATAAATAAGATGGTGATCATCCTGCTTGGTCAAGGAGAGGCGATGCCCAGTTTTATCACTGGGCATGGGATTGCTCTGACCCCACAACAGAGTCGGGTCTGTCCCAAAAAGACTCTTGTCTCATGATGCCTCCACCCTGACTCCAGGCACATCGAAATGTGCTGAACCTTATTCTTGTCCTGCTGTGGTTGGGTCAGACTTTGCATGAGCACAAACTACGGGAAAATCCAAAAGGCACGTACCAGAACAGGCAAATGGCCAAGCACAAGGATTTCAGGCCGGTTGGGCATCAGACTAAAGCAGGAGTGGTCAAAGATCATAGAAGCCGAGTGAGGCAGGCATTCAAGGCGCACTGCATGAACCACGAGGCATCATGCATAAGGCAAGCTGCAGAATACAAGGCACCGGCGCTGAAAGGATGGCATTGTGTCCAGCAACTCCTCCATCTCCAGCTGCTGCAGTTCCAGCTTAACTGCTTCTGGAAAGCGTTTCCTGAGGAACTCTGCGTTGTAGCCAAGCCAGGTTTTTAGGGGCCATAAAAAAACACTCCTGGGTTTTAAGGGGTCTATCTTGTCTTCTCAGCTTGCTGTGCTTGGGGGTCTCTCCACTTTCTCTGTTTCTTTGGGCAAGACCATGATGGCAGCAGCTATAATGGAACAGCTTATGGCAGCCCTTTGTGTTTCTGGCCTTCTAGAGAGCAGTCAGGGTTGATCTCCTCTTGGACTGACCGGTTTGATCGCCTTGTGGTCCAAGGGACTCACAGGAGTCTCCTCCAGCACCACAATCCAAAGGCCTCAGTTCTTCGGTGCTCAGCCTTCCTTATGGTCCAGCTTTCACAGCCATACATTGCAACTGGGAAAACCATAGCCTTGACTATACGCACTTTTGTTGGCAGGGTGATGTCCCTGCTTTTTAGTATGCTGTCTAGATT